GGCACACTCAGAGAAGAGGACTAGAGACTAGAGAGATTTGCAGGACTAGAGACATGGATAATTCCTGAGAATGTAAGGTTAAACTGAGGAGATGCATTCCTTTGGGATCTAGCAGAACCGTGCAGGAAGTGGAAGTGGAAGCCGTGATGTCACAGTAGCATACCCGATAAAACGGCAAAGATCACCCAGGAAAGCACACAGACACACAGCCTACAGGTCTACTGTCAGATACACTGGAAAAGCAGCCGATGCCTTTGATCGCTCGCCATCTTGGGAAATAGTAAACATTTCTGTGTAAATGTCAGAAAGCGCTCCCTCTTACTCCCTAAAAACTGACACCAGACTAATGAAGTTTATTGGTGATAGCATATTTCATTGTGGAATGACACGCTGTGACACAAGAGGGAGAACATATATGATGCTCCCAGGGTTCAGGAGGGCCCGGGTAGCTGGGGGGGTTTTGTGCACAGCCAGCTGTAAATCCACAGTCACAACTGTCTGCTCTAAACAGATAATAATACATTTCCGATTGTGAGTTCACTTCATGCAGGACAGCAGTGCGGTGAAAACAGGACGATGTCATCACAGACTGGGCTGTAGTGATTTTATATACTGATGGATAGAGGGACCGACCTGGATTGGGTCCCCTTCTGAGTGACTGGAGGGTCAACATGCCACATGATACCACACCACTAGCTGTGATTTCCCCCTGTATTCTACACGTGAAGGCTGGTAAAAGATTATTTATTGTGTTAATAAGATATCATTAATGGGTAATCAGATTCACATATCACAATATGTTGTGATGTGTTTTCAGACTGAGAGAACACACAAAGGATGTGTGCCGTAGCACTCTTCTCGCTGGGATCTAGGCAAGATTAAAATATTTTTTCGCTGCAACGTGTTGCTTCCGGATTTAAGCGCGGGAGCTCTGAGGCAAGTTTCCCATCTCACTTCGAGTCCCATCTACGGGTGCCCAGAGGGGCCAGGAAGTGTGGAGCGGCGGGTTCCTCCCCGATTCCTCTGCCATGGCGGTGGATTGCTCAGATGGCCGTGTTTACTGATCTCCCAGGCAGGGCTGGCAGACCTCACCGCCACAGCAAATGGTGCTGTTGACAAAACAAACAGTTGCATTGCGACGACACCATCAACTGATACCGGCAAAGTCTCTCCACTGAACTCGCCCGTCGGACCACCGATCTTAACTGAAAACTGTAACTGTATCAGTCAAGTAAAGGTGAGAGTTGCTCGTCACTCCTCTCTGCAGGGATGAACTGTGTTGGTTTCACATTTTTGTGTTCGTCCTTTGGAAGCTGTCAGAGGCTGAGGGGTGGCTTAGATTAGGATGCAGACCATTCCCATATTCAGAGAGTACACGATAAACTTGTCCAGTGAGTTTAAGGTGTCCAGAATCGGAAGGTGTTGGGCCATTCACGTATGCAGGGTGCAATAGCTGTTGCAGCTTTTGTACCAGCAAGTACAATGTTATTATTCAGTGAAAAGACTTGTCCTAATGAAGTTTTAATCAAGGCATCCTTTACAAATGACCACCCAGAACATAACTGTCTGTATTTCTGCTTTGAAGCCAAATATTTAATTATATATACATTTTAGCCACTGTAATTGGATGCAAAGATTTGCCTGAGAAAAAATATCTGGGTTTAGGAAAAGCAATATCATTGTGTAAATTAAAACTGTGCACACAAATAGGGGTCAGTGGGTTACAGCTGCTTTGTGGCAATGAGCTGAAATCGAGAATAAATTTACAGAAGTAAATTGTTACTTACACAACCTTTCTTTCTGCTTGTGCAAGGTATCAAAAGGAATAATGTCATGAATTAGTTATAGATTTTAACTTCTAACTTTAGCTTTATCGGTGGGATTGAATAGACCCAAGGTTAAGGCGATTTACCTGATGTAATTAGGTTGTTCAGGACATGATGCAAACCCTCATGCCCAAGGTAGGTAGATTCTGCATCGCTGCTGTCAGGAGAGAGATAATATACTTGATTTGTCCAGATTGTGATGCTATACTGTAAGCCAAATGCTGATGATACAATTGATTTCCAGAGATAAAAGATGATGTAATTGCTGTTCCCGGGTCGGAATGATTCAGTGGGTTTGTGGAGATGACGGTGATGTGATTGTTATTTTCGGATATTGAGGATGCAGTTCAGGATAAGCCTGCGATTCCGACACCATGATGCAGTGTATCTCAGCCTCTGCTGCATTTAGGTGCTCGCTCACCCCACTTCCTTCCTGTGTTGGAATTCTGACACAGGAAGTGTGAGTGCCAGGTTCCTCTTCGCTCAGAGTAAAGTAAGAAATAATATGAATATTTAATGGGGAGCAGCGTGGCTTCCCTTCTCACTCTGTCAGATCGCTTTCCAAGACAGAGAGAGTCATCGCAGCAGCGTGTCCCTGCCCTGTGTCTGCATTGGCTTCCACTGGCACACACATGCATACACACACATGCACACATGCGCACACACACACACACACACACACACACACACACATGCACACATAGATGCACAAGCATATGCACACACACACACAGACACGCACTCGCACACACTCCCATATGTGTATACACACATGCGTGCATATGCACACACAGATGCACACATGCAAATGCATGCACACTCACGCACACACGTGCACAGGCACACATGCAAGCACATGCACACACGTGCACGTAGGTGTTCAGGGACACATATACACACAAACACACACACGCAGACGCATATAGGGATGCACACACACACACACATTCATCAAACACATTGACATACTCCAACACCCCTACACACTTGCAGCTTGCACACACGGGGACAGGCATGTTAGCATGCACAGATACACACTCACACCGGCAGATATATGCTGACTCATTTGTACACATATGCAGACATACACATTCACGCTCAGATGCACACATACATGTTGACGTACAATCACAAGCACACGTTAACTCTTATTACTGACACATGCAAACACTCAAAGATACATGCGCAGAAACACACTTCATTTTCAAATTAGTGTTTCCATGGCAACTGATATTTCTTGGGGAACCACTGATGCAGTGCCATCTATTTTCAGACATGAACGTGTCTGCCTCGAACCCATGTCTACACGCAATCCCTAGCTCTGGAGTCAGAGAGATTAATGTAGTGTGAAGCAGCGCAGATGAAACACATTGCTGTAGGTGAATTATGGCCCGTTAGAGAGTGTACAGACTTTAGAGAAGGCCAATCTGTCCTGGTGCCCAGGTCATACATCGCTGTCTCCAAGACACCACAGTAGCTGGCAAATAATGGGTTAAATACAATCTCTGCATCATCATATCAGACTTTGCACTTACCTATGCAATGCACTTTCCCGGGAAGGAAAATCGTTTGTGCAAGATTGTTGTTGTTTTTCCAGGAATCTTTTACACTGTGTTGTGGTCTTGATGATTGTGATTAATATCATGACTCATGATTAATATAGTGGATTAAACTCTGTTTACATCAGTGGAGAGGTGACACTGTAGAACCATCCAGTGGGTTTCTTCTTTAATGGCCAATAACCTGCATATTCCTGTGATCTGCACCATTAATGGTGTGTAAAAGTTTCTGTCATGTCTGTTTTTTCATCAAAGCCTATTATTGACAATAATGCCAATAATGAATACCCCCTTATTCAATCAGCATTTATTCTTAATAACTCTTGTTTTTAATTCTGATTTATAAATTTATGCATGTGTTTCTTTTTTCAGTATAAACTCATAAAAGCTCCGAGTTCCTGCAGAAAAATTTGCTTAGCAGATGTTCTTGTGTGGACTGACTTTTACATTTTAAATGTTATAGTCCTACATTTATATAGCAGAATATTTCACTGATGCAATTCATGCATATATTTGATACCATGCATGGCATTATGAATCATTATAATCATCTGTAGACCATGGAAATGTTGGCTTTGAGTTTCCGGAGGGCGTTTTCTCTGTGCAGCCATCTCTGGATCTGAGGCTGCTCTGCTGTGTGATGCTTGTGCAGCCATAGATGTAAGAGATGTTTGTCCACAATTTGCCTCCGACAAAAGCAGTGAAGATTCGCTAAGCATTTGCAGGCATTTATCACAGGTGACTTCATTCCTGTCAGTTTTCATATTGCTTCTGCTGCTGTATGGGAGAGCACTTTTAACAGGTTCTTATGTGGTAGCGTACCTCATGCAATAATGCAGTTGCATTTTCAGCGTACCATACCCTACCATAATACCCTAACCATAACTCCATAATAATAATAATAATAATAATAAATGCATTTTTTATAGAGCAGACGTATATCCAGGGGAACTTCAGAGCAGAGCAGACACTTACATCCAGGGGAGTGTGTATTTTACAAAATATATACTGCTGGATTCCTTAGTGAAGCCTATCAGGTGATGTACATTGCATTGCCCAAGCGGACAAAAGCAGTGTCCCAACAGGGATTTGCGCCTGCAACCTCTTAGCAAAAAGCCCAGCACCCGCTGCCTGGGTGGTCCTGCGGTGTGTCTGCGTTTGTCTCGACCGGCTCTGAACCGCGCAGGGTGACCGCGGCGGGCTCAAGCAGAGGCAGCCTGTCAGCCGTCTCGGCGCAGGCGGGAGGGGGCCGTTAGAACTCAGCCGGGGCCAAAAAGCGGCGACAGACAGAAGCAGCGGCACGCCCTCCTCAATTAAGCCCTGAGCTTACCGCAGCGTTCTGCACACCTACGTAAAGCTTTACCACCACTGGAGAAGGGGAAAAAAAACAAGCGTATTCATTGCCGCTCACCAGTCAGCAGGCTCACCTGATGTCAGCGTCTGTACAGATCCTTACAGCTGCTTATGTTACATTACATTATTGTCATTTAGCAGACGCTCTTATCCAGAGCGACTTACAGATCTTAGAATTTTTACATGTTGTCCATTTATACAGCTGGATATCTACTGAGGTAATTGTGGGTTAAGTACCTTGCCCAAAGGTACAGCAGCAGTGCCCCAGTGGGGAATTGAACCGGCAACCTTTTGGTTACAAGCCCCATGCCTTACCGCTACACCACACTGCTGTCCTAATGTGTTACCTCCATGCAGGCAGCATGCACACTTCAAAATAAGGTATAACCCCTTTTAAGCATATTGTGTGCTTCTGAGTAGCACTGCTTCATTGGCTTTCCTGGCTAAAATGTACAGTAAAAATTTGTATTCTGGGCCATTGGAGTCATAACAGAGACACAAGATCAGTATCCATTGGTGGCCATTCGGTTTAATCACAGTGCTTTTTGTCCTCAGCTCCGCCCAGGGGTATTAAAGCAAATGTTGCTGTTGTGTTTGTTGTGAAGTACGCAACATTTGTAGTTAAATTCAGCAATCACCAAACTCATAATGCTATGTGAAAGATTAAATAAGGGGAAACCTATCTTTCATGTTTTTTGTTCCTGGTTGGGATAACTGAAATGGATTGTGGGTAATGACCCATTGATAGAAAGGTGTGTCTAGAGAGTCCCATTGACATCAGTGAGTGATGGTGTACCAGTGCGGGGTGCTACAGTGGTATGTCTCCTGTGTGTGTCTCCTGTGCTGTGCCTAGTGTCATTACTAGTAGTAGTGATCTGTGAGCCTGATACAGAAGTGGTATCTCTGTAGCCATTAGAAGCAAATCATCTTGGCTCCTCTGACATATGACAATGGTTCATACAACTATACACATACATATATTACAACTGTATATACAATCATACATAAGCATATATTTACAGGGTGGCAGTGTAGCATTATGAGCAGTACTCATAACTGAAAGGTTTCCAGTTTGATTCCCCCTGGGGCACTGCTGATGTACCCTTGGGCAAGGTACTTAACCCACAATTGCTGTATAAATGGGTAACATGTAAAAACTGTAACCCATGTAAGTCACTCTGGATAACAGTGTCTGCTAAATGCCAATAATGTAATATAATGTAAACGATACATACGGCTACATATAAGCATATGTTACAACTGTACATGAAACATATTACAATTATACATATAACCATATATAAGCATAGGTAATGCCATTTGTATTTTCATGCAGTTGCAGCTTCACACTGGAGGATGTAAGGAGAGCAGCTAAGCGTGTCAAAGCACTGGTACCCCAGGGACTGTACTGGGAACTCAAAATGGCCCTCGAAACAGGTCACCGTCCTCACAGAACATCAAGTTCCCCGCATGACACATGTGTAATCCAAGTAATGAATCAACAGTATCAATTACAAATTACATGCAATCACGTCTGACCTGCGGGCGGATCGGCAATCTCTGCCCGGTCCTGCTGTCGGCTCCGAGCTGCAATGAACACTTTGACATGTGTCTCTTTTTTTTCCCCCTGCTTAACGAGACCCGCTCTGGCAGGGAAAATCAAATGTGTTTGTGGCCACCTGCTTTTTAATTAAATCCGAATTGAACAGATACTCAGGTGCTCCGTCGGAATTAGAGGCTGAGTGTAACAGACTGTCTTTTCCGAACCGGCAGCCATCTTGGATCATGCTGTGCCAATGTGACTTTGTTCCATTTTAGCAACTGCAGTTCTTTTGAACCACACACATTAATCAGGGCAACCGGCTTCGCTTCATAGTATTCTTTAAGTTGAAGTTGATGGGGTGTTTTTGTTTACCAGAGTGCTAGTCAGCTTTTTGTCTGTGTCAGCAACCAGGATTTTTAGAAGGGCACTCCTAAAACATCACCAGTTGCACATTGGAGAGGGGGTGAGGCAGGAGGAGGGAGAGAGGGTGAGGAAGAGGAGGAGGAGGAGGAAGAGGAGCCGGGGAGGGGGTGTGCATACGTGGAAAACATGCAGCAGGTAAAAGATTCTCTGAATAGCTGTGGTAGAAGGCATAAACTGAGAAACGGAGAGAAAAGCTACAACATTTGAGCTTGTATTGAGGTCCCTGATTTACTTACAGGGATAAGGGGAACACACATACTGTATATATACAGTAACTGTAGGTGTGGTGGGCTGGCTCTCTCTCTCCGGAGTGCATTCAAATCCATAGATATTCACAACACAGTGGGAAAACACTTCCTCCCACCCACCCTGCCTACCTGCCCTCCCTCTCTCTCTCTCTCTCTCTCTCTCTCTCTCTCTCTCTCTCTCTCTCGCTCGCTCGCTCTCTCGGTCACTCGCTCGCTTGCATTGCAGCAGGGCAAGAAATGACATGTGGACCCTCTGTGAGCTGCCAGTCGGAGGAGAGGGTAAGGGAGAGAGAGAGTGAGAGAAAGACAGAGAGAAAGAGAGAGAGATAGAGAGAGGGAGAGAGAAAGAGAAAGAGAGAGAGAGAGAGATAGAGAGAGGGAGAGAGAGGGTGGTGGTTTGACGCATCCAGACTGCAACCATTGGCTTTTTTTTCTACATTAAGGATCAGAAAAAAGAACTGCAGAGAGGCACCACACTGAATACTGGATGCATTTCTCTCTCCCTCTCTCTCTCTCTCTCTCTCTCTCTCCCACTCTGTCTCTCTCTCTCTCCCACTCTCTCGTTCTTTCAGCTTAGGAGGAGAAATCAATAGACACAAATTAATCATTCTGCCCAAGGCGGTTTAGGAGGGGGGGAAGTGGGGGGTGTTGAGAGAAAGAGAGACAGGCATGTAAATCATCATTTCTTGTCATTTAGAATCTGCAGGGAATTTCTATAGACAGCTGGATCTATGCACTCCTTGCATTATGATTATTTCATTATCATAATCACCTCTTTCTTAATGTTTGTATATCATTTTGATTTTGTCAGGGTGGGTATTTTGTGCATTTTTTACAGTATTCAGATAGCACATTGCATAAAACATGCATATGCCTTTATAGGTAGATCCAGCCTTCATTGCTTGGGAAGGTCTGTGTTCAAAAAGGGAAGCTAAGAGGATATGCCCAGTCTACATCATTGTCTACATATCAATGAGTGTGATTATTAAGACTGGCAGTAGTGGAACAATAATCCCATCATTTTGCTTTTGGATTTAATGAGGATATGTTGGGAGTGGTTCAGATTCAAATATTTATTTAAGCAATACAGATTCAAACCAATTCAGTTCAAATTCAGTTCTCGTGGATGGACATGAATTTAATTCCATACCCAATATTCTCTTTGGCTTTGAATACAAGGTTAGCCTGACAAGGTGTAGTGCTTTGTGCAGTCATTTGCAGGTGACCATGCCCTTAACCCAAACATAAACTAATAATTTCACTCACACTAATTATTTTTGAGTGTCTCTGTCACAATTGATGCAGTAGGCTATAAAAGGCACCTTACTGGTTCACAAACGACAGACGAGGCGTTGCCCCCGATCTTTAAGATGCTCAGGCGGTCTCTTAGACTCATAGACAGTGTAGAAGATGGAATGCCCAGTTTCACAGCTGCACCTCTCTCATGAGACTCACCTCTGTAAGATTCAAGAAGGCAGAGTTTTTTTTTTTTGGTTTTTGATCTGTAGAAAATGTCTTCCATCTTCTTGTCATGTGAACTGACAACCCTGGCAGAGAATGGTATGGAAAATAAGAAAGTGATTGCTTTCAGGTGTATGAGAAGAGGGTTGGATTATGAGCATGCTCCAATAAGGATATGGGGCTGTCTCATGGAGTCACATGACTATGATGCAGGGATTGAAGGAAGGCCTATGAGTTATAATAAAAAGCAGGGTGAAGTGGAGTGATTATTAAAATGAAAGTACAACATGCATAGGCTTTTCTGATATTTTCAAACCCACCTCATCACATAATCTCCAGCACAGAATGTTTGGAGGATGCATGGACTTGGGAGGAACTAAAATGGAGCCAGTTTGTCCATATTTCTATTGTTAGGTTTGACCTATTTCATAATAAGTGTATTTTTAACATGTGCGCACGCACACATACACTCTAGTAGACCAATCCCCTTCAGATATGGGCAATGCATTTAAATACAACTAAAAGCAATATTCTGAATATTTCCACAAATAAAATATGCTAATGAAATTTGCATTATTTCAGCTTTCCAGTAAATGGCCCCTCTGTCAACAGCTGCTCTGAATTAGATGACAGACAGGTGCAGCACAGTGTCTGTGTGTGTGTGTGTGTGTGTGTGTGTGTGTGTGTGTGTGTGTGTGTGTGTGTGTGTGTGTGTGTGTGTGTGTGTGTGAGAGAGAGAGAGAGAGAGAGAGAGAGAGAGCAGAAAAGAGAGAGAGAGGTAGAGGAAGTGGTTGTTTCACTTGACTGGTCCTATTCTAATTCACACAGCTGTTCATCCTGGCCTTGCCATTTATGATTGACAGATCAGTTGACATTTCAAATCATAAAAAAGAATTTCTTTAAAACACATTTATGCATTCACATGTTATGTAGATGTTGTTGTTGTGTGTAAGTCTGCATGAGATATGAGCAGCTGTGTGGCCTTTGAAATAAATTTACAATGCAGCATATTGGCAGCCGAAACAACAGTTATTAATGTCAAATGTCTTTAAATGTCAAAAAGAGGAAGAGAAGCAGAATGCACCTCTCCCTCTTATATGTGAAATTAATAACATTCTTACATGAAATGAATCATCTGCTGTTTCTATGGTTTCTGCTATAATTCCATCCTGTTCTTGCACAACACTTTTCATTCATTTCAGTGACCCCCAAACGCATGGTAGTGTGGAAGTATGAAAAAGGCCTAACATTTGCCCTAAACGCATTACTGAGATTTAAGGTCAAAGTGCACTGCAGTTAGACTGAATCTGCTCCAGGGTTCTCATGCTAGAGTTAGGGGATGAAGAGGGCAGAAAACCATCAGTATTCACTTAGTCAGTGGGCAGAACGGCATTCTGGGAAGTTTAAGGGACACGCACTCCCATTCATTGGACAGAGAGTGGATTGGGATGACCTTTGGTCCAAAGCAATGGGGCAGGGAAAGAGCTTGCATGACAGCTCTTTGCCAGGCTTACATAAAGCTAGAAACAACACTGCCTGTTTGTACAGTACCAGTCAAATGTTTGGACACACCTGATAAGATAATGGGAAACATGCATTCAAAGATGTTTTGATTTAAAGACTTAGGCTTAAAGGCTTGAAATTTGTTTCTTAGACA